ATGTGTTGACCTGTATGTTTAGTACTTGAAAGATCTTCAAGACTCCAAAGGTACTCTTTTCTTGAACCTGTCAACAACATGAACGCCCAAAGACTATTTCCGCGTGGGTCAGTCCACCCGTTCAGCGCTAGTAAATTGAATTTAATAAAAAATATAATTATTTAAACAATAATAATATAAAAAATCTTACCAATTGTAAGATTGGATTCATTATTTAACTCATTTACAATTCGTATATTCACGCGAGACAATTCTGCCTCCAAATAGGTGCCACTTAAAGTATGTCTTGAAGGAAGATCATACCCGGGTTGTAATGTTTTCATTAAATCGACGAACCACGGGTTCTCAATAGTACTGAATGGAATATTACACATAACAAACGCTTTTGTTATTGAACGATCAATGCTATCGGAATATCCCTTTTCCAACTTTTTTGTTTTGTAAAAATTTGAGAGAGATGTTTGATTACTGTATTTTTGCTTTTTTTTAGGTACTTCTGAGTCAGAATTACTATCGTTTTCGTCATCTTCATCTTCTCCCATTTTTTGACCAACAATCCTAGCAAAATATAGCGCAACATCTTGCGGGCAGTTTTTACAATGATTGGCAAGATGTTGTCGAAGAACACAAGGTTTTCCATGTTTCCATGTACAGTTACAATATGTACAAGTTGCGGTATAATGTCTTCTAGATTGTTGCTGGCCTTTTATCATGTATTCCCACACATCCGAAAATGGACGACCTCTATCTGGATTAGACATAATTAAGGTAGCAAGAAACTGGAGAAATAATAAGTAAGAAACGAGAAAATAAATTTTGAAAGTCAAAAAAAAATAACGAGGAAAGGGGGAAAGAAATGTTGAAGTTTATCAAAAATCTACAGCCTGTGTAATCGATCAGCTGGAATTCTGAATGTCACTATCTTATTTCTGATTGCGTAGCAAATTTTTTTTATTTCGGTTTTTTAAATCAATTTTTAAATATTTTATCTTTTTTTCAAATTTTTCTAATCATTTTTTTATTTTTTTTTTATTTTTATTTTTATTTTTTTATATTTTTTGTTTAATAGCGCCTCCAGGAATTCATTTTATTAGGTTTGCTGCTAAAACTTATTTACTTAGACATTCTGGAGCAGTAATTATGAAAAGAGGGAATTGGAAATTTTCGATTTACTGATTTACTGATATCGATAATCTACATGTAGGATTCTTAATCGAGTCAATGTTCGGTAATTCAATTATGATCGATCACACGTGATCGATAATTCAATTTTTATTTTTAAATGGAATAATATTGCCGTAACACAGTGATCGATTCGACTATTCTCCAATTAAAGACATCATTTAAAAGACAAAATAGATTGGACCTTCACCAAAGAATGGATTAATTATAATCCTCTTGACGTCATCACCAGCGAAAAACTATCGAAAATCCAGGGATCACATATTAAAAAATGCAACTTTATCTACCCAACGGCGGACATACAACAGCGAAATTACCCTAAGTTATATCCTCCGAACACGCTCCCGTGTACGCAATGTCAACTACTTCCCGACGATAATGAACACATAGGCCNCCGAATCAAGTTCATTTCTGATTCAAATTTGATCGGATCCAATTATTTTTGATCTGAATTCGGATCAGATCAAATCCAATTTTTTTTGATCCGAATTCGGATCGGATCGGATTCATCTCAAATCCGATCTGATTCGATCCGTTCAGAACACTAACTCTAAAGGTACTCTTTTCTTGAACCTGTCAACAACATGAACGCCCAAAGACTATTTCTGTGTGAGTCAGACCACCCGTCTAGCACTAGTAAATTGAATTTAATAAAAAATATAATTATTTAAACAATAATAATATAAAAAATCTTACCAATTGTAAGATTGGATTCATTATTTAACTCATTTACAATTCGTATATTCACGTGAGACAATACTGCCTTCAAATAGGTGCCACTTAAAGTTTGTTTTGAAGGAAGATCATACCCAGGTTGTAATGTTTTCATTAAATCGACGAACCACAGGTTTTCAATAGTACTGAATGGAATATTACACATAATAAACGCTTTGTTATTGAACGATCAATGCTATTAGAATATCTTTTTTCCAACTTTTTTGTTTTGTAAAAATTTGAGAGAGATGTTTAATTACTGTATTTTTGCTTTTTTTTAGGTACTTCTGAGTCGGAATTACTATCATTTTCGTCATCTTCATCTTCTTTCATTTTTTTACCAACAATCCTAGCAAAATATAGCGCAACATCTTGCGGGCAGTTTTTACAATGATTAGCAAGATGTTGTCGAAGAACACAAGGTTTTCCATATTTCCATGTACAGTTACAATATGTACAAGTTGCGGTATAATGTCCTCTTGATTGTTGCTGGCCTTTTATCATGTATTCCCACACATCTGAAAATGGACGACCTCTATCTGGATTAGACATAATTAAGGTAGCAAGAAACTGAAGAAATAATAAGTAAGAAACAAAAAAATAAATTTTGAAAGTCAAAAAAAAAATAACGAGAAAAGGGGAAAAGAAATGTTGAAGTTTATCAAAAATCTACAGCCTGTGTAATCGATCAGCTGAAATTCCGAATGTCACTATCCTATTTCTAATTACGTAGCAAATTTTTTTTATTTCGGTTTTTTAAATCAATTTTTAAAATATTTTTATCTTTTTTTCAAATTTTTCTAATCATTTTTTTGTTTTTTTTTTATTTTTATTTTTGTTTTTTTATATTTTTTGTTTAATAGCGCCTCCAGGAATTCATTTTATTAGGTTTGCTGCTAAAACTTATTTACTTGGACATTCTGGAGCAGTAATTATAAAAAAAGGGAATTGGAAATTTTTGATTTACTGATTTACTGATATCGATAATCTACATGTAGTGATGTAGGGTTCTTAATTGAGTCAATGTTCAGTAATTCAATTATGATCGATCACACGTAAGGTTGCTTGCCGAAACCTAAGGGTTTAGGCAAGATGGCGTTTTGCCAAAAAGCGAAATTCTGCCGAAACTATATTAAAGTTATATTAAAAAACTGGCGAAACTTTGGAGAAAGGCGAAACTGCCGAAACTTATTATAAATGCCGAAACTGCCGAAACTCTGCCGAAACTATAATAAATCTATAGTAAAATTTTGACGAAATTAATCGTAGGATTTTGAGGAGGTTTAGACAAGCAACCTTAATCACACGTGATCAATAATTCAATTTTTATATTTGTGAATAAATGGAATATTGCCATAATACAGTGATCGATTTGACTATTTTCAACTTTTTCTCCAATTAAAGACATCATTTAAAAGACAAAATAGATTGGACCTTCACCAAAGAATGGATTAATTATAATTCTCTTGACGTCATCACCAGCGAAAAACTATCGAAAATCCAGGGAACACGTATTAAAAAATGCAACTTTATCTACCCAACGGCGGACATACAACAGCGAAATTACCCTAAGTTATATCCTCCGAACATACTCCCGTATACACAATGTCAACTACTTCCCGACGATAATGAACACATAGGCCTCTGTAGAGTACACAGAGATTTTTGTCGTAATTTATTGATCAAATACAAACACATATTGTATGACACCATCAAAGATATTAATGACGCTCCTTTGCCTTCTATAATGGAAACAATCGATAACTCACCTATGTTTTCGACTAATTTGAATACTACTCTTTCCAAAAATCACCCACTTTATTTGTTAATACACCATTTAACCCCAAAAGACCTATCTTGTATATTTATAAATTTTGTGCGAAAGAAAAAGCTCGTTATCAGGCTTTTCACTCTTTCATGAACTGTATCACATCAGAGATAGATATTCATATATGGAATAATAGACGCCAACATTTCAAAGAATGGGAAAAACTATCGGGATCTCCATGAGAAAAAAGAAAACTTACTGCAAGCGATACTCCCAGCACGTCCCTATTCAAAGTGGATCTGATGGTTCTGCTTCTCAAGTAAAAACAAGAGCTGTTCATTACGCTAACGTTAACCACCATCCTCCATCTCTCCTGTACGACCATTTGGGGTACTACATAACCCTACGGCACACATCAGATGGACATCAAGTAACTTTTTACATTCGGGATCATGGGAATCCCATAGGGATAACTTTTTTTTCGATAATATAGATTTATTTTCTTTTTTTAATTATTCTATTTTAATCACGAGACCCATCATTTAGATAGTTTAATTTTTAAGTCACTCCTATTGTATAATCTTTCCCAGCTTTAGGCTGACTAGTTCCGCAGGCTGCTCCCATTTCTCTTCATCTTCAAGACCAGGTATAAAAATAAAAATAAAATATTTTTATTTGTAAAACTAGTTTTATTACTTTCGTAACGTGAAATATTAAGTTTTAATAATTAATAAATTATTTTTTTTAAGACAAAAGCTTAATTACTATTAAGCAAAAAAGCTGGAGAATTTAATGGTATGTTTTGAATTTAAATGAAATACTGTATATATTTATTATATTTTTAACTGACTATTATTTTATAGGTACGATTCCAGTTTTGGATTAAATTTCATTTTCGTGATCCTTGATCTCAAATTCCAATTTATGAAGAATTTTCTTATGACGTGGTTACTAAAAAATTATAACCGATCAGCGGCTCATAGCCAACGAACATTATTGTTCCATGATACAAAAATTAGTTGTAATCCTTAACGATTTATTGGAAATAGTAATTTTTGTTTATTTAGTTGTGGTATGTGTGGTATAATTAAGGTTGCTTGCCGAAACCTAGGGGTTTAGGCAAGATGGCGTTTCACCGAAAAGCGAAATTCTGCCGAAACTATATTAAAGTTATATTAAAAAACTGGCGAAACTTTGGAGAAAGGCGAAACTGCCAAAACTTATTATAAATGCCAAAACTCTGCCGAAACTATAATAAATCTATAGTAAAATTTTGACGAAACTAATCGTAGGATTTTGAAGAGGTTTAGACAAGCAACCTTAGGTATAATACAAAATGGTAATCAAGGAAAATATAGTAGATTTAACGGAAGTAAGTACTGATTTTTTTTAAATAGAGAGAGTGGAATTGAAAGTCTTTTTTAGAAAAAAATTAATTATTATTTATTATTTTTTATTTTAGAAATGTGGTTTGCTAATAATTCCGCCATATCATTGGGTTATTGTGGTTTATCAACTTCTAGAACTATATTTAATTGTACTCCTTTTTCTTCTAAAAATTCTTACTCATCTGTATATAGAATGATTTAGCCATAATTAGTAAGTCTTTTTAAGTATAAAATAAAATAATATAAATTATAAATCATATATTAAATAAAATCAAGATTAAAAACGTTCAACTATTGCACAATTGGTACAAACTTTAGAAGGAAAATGGTAAATTTGAAATTTTTTAATAGAAAGGTTAAAATTTAAATTTCTGGATTAGGAAGATTAGGAGGACTTGGAGGATTGCTCGAGTAATTCTTTATAGGAATTGCTTCAACTAACGCATTAAATTCATAACCATCTATTTTAAAATTTGTTTGTAGTGATAATAAGAGAATTTCCTAACAATAAAAATTTGTCTCAATTAGGGATGATATTTAATACATAAATCCATTTGTATAAATTACCGTATATAGCTTCGTTATGTTGTTATAATAATAAAAAAAATTTGCGAATATAAACTATATGGAGATATATTAATTAATTAACCAGTAAAATCTCAAATTTTAATGTCAACTACACGGTTTTATTAAATTTTAGCGAAAAAAATTTTTTGTGATAAAAAATTAAATTATTTAATTGATCGATAATTCTTTTCCAATTAATTGATCGATAAAAGATTAATTGACAAATCTACAAATTTAAATTCCCTATCTACATGTATCATATGATATAAATAGTGGAATATTTGCAGAAATTGTGAAATATTTGCGGAATTGCGAAATACTTGCGGAATTGCTGATAATTGCTAATTACAGAATTGCAGATAATTCAACTTCAAAATTCGCAATATTCCACAATACCGTAAATCGCAATTATTCTGCAATTACCTATTTGCGGCACCATCCTTAGTCTAGCCCAATTCGAAGTTAATGAAAACCCTGTGTGGACTACAGATTTAGGGGGGATACCTGTACAGTGATTTCCAGCTAAGTGGACTCTTAAAGAAAGAAAACAACGTGAGAAGTTCCAAGCTACGATTAGAAACATTTCAGATTCTATGACGTTAGCAGCTTTATGGAAAGATAGCCGCTCACATTCATTCCTTTCTGCCGTAAAAGGTTTGAAAAGTTTTAAAATTATACAAACAGCTAAGGGGGATCGTAAGTTTATTGGTTATTTTGAAAAGTGGGTTGATATGCGAACAGCATTAGATAATCAATATACTTGGGAACAAGTGAACCTGTCTTGAAATCGACACGTACCTCCAAAGCAACCAACAAGGTCATAAGGTAATAATACCAACAAGAATCAAAGAACTTCAGGAAGTCAACAGACCCAGAAAAAATAGCAGAATTCTTCGAAGAATTCTAAGAAGAAACCACAAGAGACAAAGTCTGATAAAAAATCCAAGAAGGATAAAAAAGACAAGTCCTGTAAAGCATCAAGATTAAAGATCTTAGTGGAAATTATAAATGTTTTGCGTAAATTAATTTAGTTTAGATTAATTTAGATTTCACAAATTTATTATTTTATTTTACTTAGTGCAATAAATAAAAAACTAATTTTATCCTAGTCAGGTTTTTAGGGCAAAGGAAATAGGTCATTTTCCCAAATTGAGGATTATGACACTATAGTGTAGGTATTAAATAGAACTTATATAGAAACTAGTTGGATAGTTTTCGTTTTAGTTCATCATATTGCCTGCTTTCCTATGTATAAGTTATTAGACTTCTCATATGTATTGATCTTTAACATTTATCGCTAATAAAAAAATAAAAAAAATAAAAAAACAAATCAGCCCATATGTTTTCATTACCAGTAGTATCACTACTTTCACAACCGATGTTAATAAACATTTTCTTTAAAAATCTTCTCAAATTCATCTTAATAGAATTTGTGATTTAGGTTTACAGTCAGACCTCTATGTACCGATATTGTTATTTTAGGAAAAATATATCGGTATATCAAATTATCGTTATATAACCGTCATCAGTGAATCATAATGCGGGCTAAAATCCAATTCTTGCCAGCATTATTATGTAAACTCTGGATAGCTAATATATTAAAATGTCATGTAATTTGGATGGAACCTTTATGTTAACTCTGACCAAATTCATAGTGTTGACCCGAATTAATACCAGTGTAACCTAAAGTATTGGTACATCTTACTATGTATTAATTATAAAGGGCAAAGAAAAGTATCAGTACATATTACATCGTGAAACTATATATAATATCGGTACAATGAGATTTTTTTATTAATTGTGAAACGGAACATAAAAAATTTATCAGTACAGGCAATTATCGGTACATAGGATATTGGTATATAGAGGTCTGACTGTATTTACCAACATCAATAACAATACGCATCAATCCTATACAAATAAACATTCAGCCACATGACAGGTTATCTTTAACTTCTTTATGTCTATCAAGATATATAGTCCTAATCCAACTCCTCACTCTGTAAGTGGAAAAGGTTTTGCAATATCGCTAAATAGAAGAAATACTATTATAAACATCGTCACCACTCTGCTAAACATAACCAATATCAACATAACAATATAACAGTTTCACATTCATCCTCATTATCATGTCCTCCTGTACCTTTTCCATCATTACTGAAGTTACCATTACCGACGTGCAGTCTGAACGCTTTACTGATCCTATTATAGAGCTGACACCTATATAAAAATATGAGAAAAATTAAAAAAAATAAATTAAAAAAAAATAAATTAAAAAAATAAAATATGAAAAATCAAAAAAAAAAATAAATTAAAAATATAAATTTCGAATTTTAAATCAAAACTTACCAGATCAAAGTTCTAAAGTTGAAGGAGGTAACACCTATAAAAAATATGAGAAATTAAAAAAAAAAATAAATTAAAAAAAATAAAAGTTTCAAATTTCAAATTGAAACTTACCAGATCAAAGTTTCAAAGCCAAAGGAGGTGACACCTATTAAGAAAAATTAAAAAAAAAATAAATTAAAAAATAATGTTTTGAATTTTCAAATTAAAACTTACCATATTAGTATATTCAAGTCCAAAGTCGAAAACTAATATCTACAAAAAAAAAAAAATTAAAAAAAATCAAAAAGAAAAAAAATATATATGTAAGTTTTGCTTCAAACTTACCAATTCGAAGAAGCTGATATTTAAAAAAAAAATAAAGTTAAATTGAATTTTTTTTCAAAAAAAAAATTTACTAAAAAAAATTTTAAAGGAAACTTACCAATTCAAAGCCCAGAGACAAGATGATATCTACAAAAATAAGTTTTGAAGGCGAAGAGCAAAGTCTAAGATTGCTGGAGAAACTAGGAGGTTTTGGCAAGTTGGTGAAATGCCGAAATAGCGAAACTTTGCCGAAACTATATGAAAGTCTTATTAAAAAGTTGGCAAAACTCTGGAGAAAAGTGAAACCTGACGAAACTTATTATAAATGCTGAAACTGCTGAAACCTTGCCAAACCTATAATAAAACTATAGTAAAATTTTGGAAAAACTAATTGTAGAATTTTGGAGAAGTTTAGGCAGGCAACCTTAGGCAAAGTCAAAGCTGATATATACCTAAAAAAAAAGAAAAAAAAATTAGTTTAAAAAAAAAATAAAGTTTTAAAAGAAATAAAACTTATAAAACTTTACCAATTTAAAGTGTAATGTCAAAGCTAATAAATAAGGATCCCAAAATATACATAAAAGGGTCAAGTCAGAGTTTGCATATAATGAGTCAAAAAAATTATGTAGATCATTCCTTTTATGAATAATCCCAGCCAAAATAATATTTTCTAATTTAGATAATGGCTGAAATTATCATAATTCTGGTCCTGAAAGAATACGTATTTTGGACCACTTCTGGACCTGACCTCTACATATATATTTCGGGTCCTGATAAATACCTAAAAAAAAAAAAAATTAGTTTTAAAAAAAAATAAAGTTCTGAAAGAAACTTTTAAAACTTTACCAATTCAATACCTAAAAAAAAGAAAGAATAATTTTTTTAGAAAGAAAAAAAAAAGTTTATTTTTTTTAAACTTTACAATAAAAAGATTATTTTTCAGTACACAAACCATAATTGGACTAGTCTGATCAGCCAGTTTCAATTTTTTATTTTAGTCATGGTCTAATTTTGATCGAAGTTTAACATTCGCCAGCCAAAATTAAGTCAAAATATAGTCATTTTATCACATAACCAAATTTTTTTAGCTTTTTTTTTAGTCTTTATAATTTGTACTATGACTTATATATGAAATAAAAATAAAAACTTTAATGTACATTGAATATTTATTATTAAATGCTGCACATCATGATAAAAATTGCATTGATGATGCTCATTAATATTAAATATTACTTGTACATTAAAAATAATGAATATTGCAATGTACATGATTTGCATATGTACATATAATGTACATTTTTTTCATAATTTCCTGATGATAAGTTGTGATTGTATAATACCTGTGCATCATATTTTAGGTAGATTTATACCAGTAAGTTACAAAACCTCAAATTGGCAAAATGCAAGAAAGTATTTAGCTGTAAATTCAATTAGTAGAAAATACCAATTATAAACTTATAAGTTTTAGACATAAATTTATAATAAATTGAGTAATTGACTATAAATTTAGTGTTGATTTTTTCTGAATTTCTGAATTTTAATGACAAATCATATTTTTCAAAAGTTAATTTTGATGACTTTTTTGTATCAATCAGCCATCAATCAAATATAATAATTTTTTGCCAAATTTTTATTGAATTTTTATTGAATTGTCAATTTTCTATAAATCTGAAATACATTTGAATATTGGTAAATTTTAGGTTGATTTGCCATTTGTCTATTTTTTTTTTTGATTTCAACTAGCATCAATTAGCTGTTAATCAAATATAATGATTTTTTGCTAAATTTTTATCGAATTGTCTGATTGGCATCAATTAGATATGCTGATTTGTAATGTTAGTCAATTTTGGTCTGATTTTTAGCCAATTTTCCATATGTCTAATTTTTTTGATTTTGATCAGTGATTTCATGGTAGTATCCCACTAATACTAAAAAACTTTAGATTTGAAATACATTAAATTAAATTAAGAAAATGAAATTACTGGTAAAATACTAACTAAAAAACAGATTATTACTATTTTTAAAGAAAATAATTTAATAAAAGTATTGAAAAATAAAATCTTATTATAAATAATATTTAAAAAAAACTCAAATTTTAAATATATTAAATTAAATTAAAAAAATGAAATTACTAGTAAAATACTAATTAAAAAACATATTATTACTATTTTTAAAGAAAATAATTTAATAAAAGTATTGAAAAATAAAATCTTATTATAAATAATATTAAAAAAAAACTCAAATTTTAAATATATTAAATTAAATTAAGAAAATGAAATTACTAGTAAAATACTAATTAAAAAACAGATTATTACTATTTTTAAAGAAAATAATTTAACAAAAGTATTGAAAAATAAAATCTTATTATAAATAATACTAAAAAAACTTTAGATCTGAAATACATTAAATTAAATTAAAAAAATAAAATTACTAGTAAAATACTAATTAAAAAACAGATTATTACTATTTTTAAATAAAATCTTATCATAAATAATACTAAAAACTCAGATTTGAAATACATTAGATTAAATTAAGAAAATGAAATTATTAGTAAAATACCAATTAAAAAACAGATTATTACTATTTTTAAAGAAAATAATTTAATAAAAGTATTGAAAAATAAAACTTTATCATAAATAATACTAAAAAAAAAAAACTCAGATCCTGATTTTATTAAATTTATCAAATTTATTAAACAATAAAAAAAATTTGAATAATTTTTTTATACATTTCTTTTTACATGTGTTGCTTCTATTATTAATGGAAGATGATGTTTAAAACTTATATAATCATATATATAACATCTGGAATGGTTCATTATATTTATAATGGTAAGTATATATATCAAACCACGTGACCTCATACATGTCACGGAGATAATTTCTTGGATGCTAGCCTGTTTTTCTGTATTTTGAATCATGACAAAATTTTCTTGAAACCGTTCATATTATTACTATTAATTTTTTTTTTTAAAAAAAAAAAATCAATACAACTATCACACAGCATAATACAATTTGGATTCATATGAATTCAGTTATATATTTTTTTACAATTAATTTGTATAGTAACCCTGCTGTACATAGGGGAATACATTTACGGAAATATATAAATAAATATATATATATTTTTTATTTACCATTTTAACAATTTTTATTGCATTCAGATCTTTTCCAACTATAACTTCAGGTTACTTAAATGCAAGGAAAATTTTCATATGTAATTTTAAGGACTGATCTATACATACATATATAATAATCTATACGTAAATTGGGTTAAATTGACACGATCTTTTCAGGCCAGAATTATGTAATGCTAGGACGATATTATCTAAAAAAAAATAAGGAATATATAATAAGGAAGATATTTTAGTCATTCTACATATTTTTATGCATTTACTTAACTTTTTTTATGCATATTTTTATCTATCAGTTAAGGGTCTGATAACAAATTTGTAACAATATATATATTTAAATATGATCACTTGATGGAGTCGTATGATTTTTGCCTTAAAAAAAAAAAAAAAATTATTCTAATAAGGACGAAAATAGATCATTCCGATATATATATATATATATATATAAATTGTTTTATATTGTATATTCCATACTTAATAATAAGGACGAAAATAGATCAGTCCGAAAAAAAAATTTTGTTCGGATGCAAAAGAAAAAAAAATAAATAATTTTATTTTAGTCGATAATTCCGACTCCGTTTTTTCATTTATTGTAAGAAAAAAAAAACTTTAATCATCAAAAGAATTGTTTATTAAGTTCATATTGTTTGTTTTATCATTGTGAATATTTATTTAGTTCTCTATCTATTAAGGTCTCTATTAAGTACGGCATAAACTTGTACAAAAAAGGGGGTGTCGGGAGTTTATCTTCTTTAAAGTTACCGGCTTTAAACAGAAAATTTTCCTAAAAAGAATTCATTGTTTTAACATATATATGGATATTTAATGCAACCCTACAAGGTTACACCGCATAAATCTCCTTAGATTTCTGGACTTTGGATTCGAATATTTTTATTATGATCCTTCGGATTCCAATCCGGTTTCCCGATTCGGTATTTTATATATCCTGATTTAAAAGAAACCGGATTTATTTCTTGATTAAAAAAACCTGTATTATACCAACGCATTGGTGTGACAATTGATAAACAGATCCCCCTTGCGAATCACGCAATAAAGACCGACAAAATAATTATGTTTGATGATGAATGAAAATGCTACGAGTGATTTTTTTATTTAAAATTTTTGCCATGAAAGGAAAAAAACGTATGATAAGTAAAAAAAATAATAAAAAAAGAAGAAAAAATGCAAAAAAATATACAATTAATGAAAAAAATTATGAAGAGAGAAAAAAAAAAATCTATATACATATTACATATAGAAAAAAGTCAGAATATGATTAAATAATAAGAATTTTTTTTTTTAAGAAAAATAATAATAATAATAATAATTATTATAATAATTGTTGTAATAAAATAAAAAAATTAATAGTTGTTATTATATGATTAAATAAATTAAGAAAAACATGACATTTTCTTAAATATTTTTGATATTTTTGATTTAAATTTTTTAATTCCTTTTGATTTTTCGATTTCTTTATTGATTTTTGCTAATGTTTTTGGTGATATTGGTTCACTATAAAATATATATACAAAAAAAAATTAGTACATTAAATTTTTTTTACAGATCGACCGTAAAAAGATTATTTGTATTTACCTTAAATTGGCATCTTGATATTTAGGTTCCGGAGGTACTAATGATAATGGTTTCTCATTGTCATTTTGACTGTGTGATGATTGTAATTGTGATGATGATAATGAAGGTGGGTGAAGGTTATCATGAGATTTCCTTGATTCTTCAGATGAAGCTCTTATGTCTAAAAAATAAATAAATAAATAAATAAATCAATCTTGAACAATTAGGTGTTATATATAAATTTGAATGATAATTACCAGCAATAACAATACTATTACTTAAAGATTTCCCAGTGATAACGGGTTCATCATATAAGAAACCTTCTATTTGTTCACAAACTTGTTCAATACTTGGTCTCATGTCTGGTTCATGATCCCAACATTGTTGATATAATTGAACATATTCTTCAGGAGTATTTGGTACAGGTTGTTCACGAGTTTTTCTAACCATTATAGCCATTGTAAGTAAAACTTGATTTCCATTACCAAACGGAGTATCATGAAATGGTGATTTACAACTTGATAATTCCCACATTAGTACACCAAAACTGTAAATATCTGAACGTTTATCAGGTTTATGTTTCATATCTCCCATAACTTGTGGGTCAACAAATGGTATCGTTGAAAGCACATCACTATTTAAAGTTGAAGAAGAAGATGTTTCGTCATCATCAAAACCAAATAATCTTGGATCCCTTATAAGTGCTTTACCATCTTCAATAAAAACATTTAATTCATGCTACAAGATAAAATTTAATTTGATTAGGGACATGGGACAAGCTATGCAATAAAAAATGAAACCTTCATGGGAAAGATACTAACCAAATCTCCATGAGCAATTCCTGCTTTATGTAAATGTCTTATTCCATATGCAATATCTTTAGCTAAATTAAATTTCTTTGGCCAATCCAAATCTTTATGTTGTGACAAATATTCTTTTAAAGTACCATCTTTAGGATGTTGTATTACAAGAACGGCATTTTTTTCTGATGAATCTATATAGATAATAATAATTAATTTATAATGTTTAAGGAATTACGCTTCGTTGAAGATAAAACTTTTGATTTGTACCTTCGGTTACTCCAAGTAATTGTATTATATTCTCACAATTCATGTTCGATTTAGAGCGACGAATCTAATATATTAGTTAACAATGGTCAATATATATGTATTTAATCATTAAGAAAGTTAATTAAGTTAGTTTAGTTACCTCTTCAGTTAATTTCTTATGATGGTCTTCAATACTATAACCAGGAACAGATCTTAAAATAACAGGTCTTGAATTTTTTTTCCAGGTAGCCTTTCTTACATTATCACCATATAAATCACTTCTAAATTCGTGAATATCACTAAATTCGTTGAAATTAACGAATTCTATATCCATTTTGTTTGCAATTTCTTCAATCGCTTTAGAATGTGATTGTTGTGATTTTAATAATAAATCGTTGTGTTTCATTAATAATAAACTTGAGATATTTGAGGATGCATTGATTACTTCCGTCATTTTTAATGAATCAAAAAAAAAAATTTTGGTTGTTTATAAAAAGGTTTTTTATTTTTTTCAGAAAATTTCAGGATTTCTTTTTTTAAATAGAATTTTTTCTTTTTTTTAAAAAAAAAAAATAAAAAATGAATAAATATTTTGGAAAAAAATTGAGGAATCAACAAAAAAAAAGGAGTATATTTTTTTTTTTTTTTTT